AGAGTCTGAGAGTTTGATTCCCCCACTGTGCATCCGAGAAAAGCCAGCCTGGGTAGCCCTGGGCAAGCTGTTCAGTCCCAGGATGCCCCCAGAAGAAGAGAACAGTAAATCACATTTGAGTACTACCTAACTAGAAAGCAAACAAACAACAACAAAAGTTTCCATAAGTCAGAATTGACTTGACAGCACACAATTATTATGAAGAAAATGTTAAATCATTTAATAGATATGACAGCCAAACAACAACAACAAAAATTCTGCATTCAGAGATTGTTCAGAATAGAAAAGACAAGGGGAATAATTATAAGATTACTTCATTTTCTTTTCCTTTTGGAGTCAGGGAAGTGATCCTGAAGTCACCGAAATTTGAGATTATTGTTCTTGTATTGCATGAACAATAAAATTGTTGTCGGTTGATGGGTGAATCCCATGCAGAAATGGGGCTAAGTGGCCATTTAAGCTGAATGATTCTATGATTCTATAAAAGGTTTTCTGGCTGACATGAGAAATACATCTTCTCTGGTCTTGGGTGGTGCAACATGCTGTTGAGTGACCACCACCACACCCCCTTTTTCGTCTCCCGCGCTGATTAGACATCCTTCAATCTTATGAATGCCCTGGTCTTTGTTTCACAACCCAAAAGAACAGACACACACCTCTATAATAATATTTTAGTAAAGACTAAGAATGAACTTTTCCCAACCACTGAAGTTTTCCGAGGAAGTGCTTTCCCCTGAGTCTCTTCTCGGCTTCATCCTCCTGCCATTACCCTGTGTTCTTTATGATAGACTGCCATGAGACTCTTTTGCCATGAGTGGAGAAAAAAATAAACAGTGATGACAATTAAGCTTTTATCAGTCAGTTACATCAGATGGAAGGTCTGTGATGACGGACATGCCTCTCTTCCCTTGACGCCAGTTATAAACCTGACAACGGAACGGTGAGATAAGGATGCCTACCGTGCCCTTGAGGGACATCACCTGTTATATCCTTGTGTAGTTGCCTTTCAGCAGTATAATTTGATGCTCCCGAGCCTTTGTGTCGAGGGTTTTTTTCCTTCCTTTCTTTCATACCAAACGAACATGATCATCAGGCGCATTTTTTCCTAAAGCGCATACTTAGTTGTGCACGTTCCCCAACTTCCACGTTTTCCCTGTTGACTAAAGCGTGGATATGTATGTCCTTTCCCCAGTTCTTAATGGCAGTGGTTCCCAATCTTGGGTCCCCAGTGGTTCATGGACCGCAACTCCCAGAAGCCTTCACCAATATCTGTGCTGGCTAGGATTTCTGGGTATTGTAGTCCCAGAACATCTGGGGACCCAGCGTTTAGTTAACGAGTTGCATTATCTCTCCTGAGCAAGGGGAAAAGGGGGAAAAATCACCAACAGGATTCTGGACATTTCCCCTTATATTTTATGAGAATTATGTCATTCTCTGGCATCTCTGTAGCCACCTTGATTTATTACCCTTCCTGAAATGCCTACAGGGAGAGCCTATTATCATTCCATTCCTCCGTCCACAGGAAATGTAGGAAGTTATGAAGATCTGGGATGTAGTGGGCAGGAACACCATTCAATCACCTAATCAAGACATTCAGATATCCCCTATTCAGGCCTTGTTAAAACCTAATTCCTTAGAAGTCCGAAATATTGCAGGAAAAGCCTCGATTCCTAATGGGAAGGGTGAGATGAGACATAGTCTATAGATGCTATACAGCCAGATAAATTATCATAATCATATACCCTTAAGTCCATTCTGATTTATGGAGACCATTTTTTTCGGGTTTTCCAGGTAGAGGGAATACTCTATGTTTCCCTTTCCCTTCTTCTCAGGGTGCCCTAGGATTGTGCAGCTTGCCCAAGGCCACCCAGGCTGGCTCTTCTCCTAGAAGGCGTAGTGGAGATTCAAACTCCCAACTCTGAGTCTGCATCCAGATCCCTGAACTACTGAGCTATCCCACCAGCTATAGAGCTAGATTAGCTATAGATGATGTGCTGACACATAGACAGCGAGCATGTTTGAACAGAGAGGGCATTTGAATGGGATCAAGGAGAACCACTTTCCAATTCATTGGCCATGATGTTCATTGAATGGCCTCTGGCAAGCTCTCATCTTGACCACTGTGATGGTTTCGTCTCTCATCTTCCATAGCATCACTTGTAGCCTGATCAGTCTCTGCTCATCACCTCTTAACTTAAGCAGCTCGGTTGATTTCCTGTCTGCCCCAGATCCATCACAAGATTCTAGTCCTTACTTTCTGAACTGTATCTTCTCCTTTTCTCTTGGTTCCTATACCATCTTTTGACAAACGTTGCTTTCCTTGCTCAAATAACCTTATGTCTTCTTCTTCCTTAAACTCTGATCATTTCTCTCCATCTGCTTCTTACGCAAGGAACTGCAAAGTAGAATGAACATATGATTGTTCTCAGAACCATCTCAGAACAAAATGTTTTGATGACATCATTTTGAACTTTCTTATTTAAAAAAAAACCTCCTCAAAAACCACCTTTGGTACAAAGTTAGAATCTGGGGGAAAAATATTTTCAGGGGAAATGTCCCTTAACCTTTAAAAAAGGGTGTTCTTTATATCTGTCTGCTTCTGTGCCATATTTAGCCCTGAATAGGGCTTACTTCCCCTTTTCGGAATGATTCCAACCAATCACAGATCACACAACGAAAATGGAAGTATCACCATGCAACTCAGACAATCAATCAGACTTCTGTGCGATTTTCAGCACTGAATAGCGCAGCTTTCTTTTTTGAATGATTCCAACCAATCAGGGATCGCGCAAATACCACCATGCAACTCAGACGACCAGTCAGACTTCACTCCATCTGGATATGTTGTTGTTGTTTAGTTGTTTAGTTGTGTCCGACTCTTTGTGACCCCATGGACCAGAGCACGCCAGGCCCTCCTGTCTTCCATTGCCTCCCAGAGTTGGGTCAAATTCATGTTGGTCACTTCAATGACACTGTCCATCCATCTCATCCTCCATCGTCCCCTTCTCCTCTTGCCTTCACACATTCCCAACATCAGTGTCTTTTCCAGGGAATCTTCTCATGAGATGGCCAAAGTATTGGAGCCTCAGCTTCAGGATCTGTCCTTCCAGGGAGCACTCAGGGTTAACTGATAACTTTGAGATAAATGAAGACCATTTCAAGTGAAGAAAATCATTTCAGGATGGGTTACATGGAGAACCCCAAACCCCAACCTATCAGCGGTGCATACTATCCAGGATGAGAGTCCAGAAAGCCACACATTGGTTCTGATTTGGCTATGTGCAACATCATAACAAAGCATTACTCAAACAAGGTGATTAGACAGTATATCTGGATTTTGCCACCTTTCAGAGGAATCAACAAAAAATAATATTTTGTGTGTGCGCGCACGTGCTTTTGTGTATAGGCAACTACACACATAAATGGTCCCACCTTTTGGTTTAGTTTTAGTGGAAATGTGTGTGTAAATAAGGTTCTACACAATTCTGGCATGCTTGTAAAGGTGAACATTCAGAGTCACCAACCAACTGTACTGGAATCAAGCAATTAGGTGGGGCTCTTAATTAATTCATGTTTATTCATCACCCATTAACAACTGATGGAAATGATACCTCTTGCTCGGTGACATCTTGTCATGCATCTTCGACCAGCAGGTCCAGTAGCCAGACAAGGGAGTAAGTATGTAATCTACCATACTTGGGGGTGTCTCATTTCCCGTAGGAGAGGACTGGAGATAGTATAAAAAGATGCCGAGCCAGAAGTCCTTCATTCGCTCACTTCAGCTTCTTCTGCTACTTCTTTGCCTCCACTTACTGAGGAAGGTAAGCCTGGCTTGCATGCCTATATTTATTTCATTTATAAGATTATTAGAAATTATCCAGGAGCACTGTAGTTTAGGCGTTCCATTCATGGATTAGGCAGCAATTGGCCAAGGATTGCATGAGAGTAAGTGTTCCTGCAATCATGAACTGCTTGGGCTGAGATGTCAAAAGTGCTTCAGTTACTCAACACAACCTGGATTTGCGGTAGACAGAAGCCAGCAGAGATACCGATGCATGAGGTCTGAAGGAAAAGTTGCAGCTCAATATAGAAGGTGCTGCTTGAGGATGGGGCAATCCAGTTCATGCATCTATAGGCTGCCCCTAAATGTTGGGCCAAGAGAAATTGTGAAGGAGAAGGGTATAGAAGGTGCTGCTTGAGGACGGGGCAATCCAGTTCATGCATCCACGTCTTGGGCCAAGAGAAATTGTGAAGGAGAAGGTGAACATCATCCAGTTGTTGAGCTCAAGCTTGGTAGATAAAAGACTTCCAAGTTTTACCTCTGGTAGGACCAGCTTCAAAGGTTGCAAATCTCTGGGTGGCTACTATCATCATCATGGAAGATATGCCACCAGCTACAGGAGACATCCTAGGAACAGTTAGTACAAAACAACTTTGGAGGTGGGTAGGTTCCACCATTAAAGAACGGAGGACATCTACTGCAGGAGGAAGACCTTGAGTTCAATCTTTGACATCTCCATCTCAAAGGGTTTCATGTAGCAAGTCGAAATGATGCATACACTGGAGATGCTGGTCTTTGATGGACCGAAAGGTCACTTTAAGAGAGATTGCTCCCAGCAAATGGACCCTTTCTGGTGCGATTGGATGCATGCCTTTGAGATGTGAGGTTGCATCCCCAGTTCCTCTCATGCAGAAAACGATGGCTCTCTCCATCTCCTCTTTCACAGCCAGGCCATGGCGACCAACGGGTTTCTTAAATTCATTGGCCACAGGAGTTATTCTCTGTTTATACACTGTATCAATTGTTTTCTGATAAATGGAGTGAAGGGGGATCCAAGATCCCAATCAATGGGATGGAGATCCCAACCAATGAATGGAGAGAATGTTAAGCCAATCAAGGCCCCAGAAATGTTGAAAGTGTTGCTTCTTTTTTTTCTCTTTAGGACAACTGAACAAAAAGGAGGAAGGGAAAGGACGTCTTTCACCCATATACAGAAAAGATGAGCCAGCAAAGACAGAGTGGCAGTTCATGCTGTGGTGGCGGCGGCGGCGGTGGCGGCGGCGGTGGCGGCCAGTCGTGCTGTGGAAGTAGTGGAGGAGGAGGAGGAGGAGGAGGCTACCAGATCCAGAGCCAAGGAGGGTCATCCTGCTGCTGCGGTGGCAGTGGTGGAGGAGGAGGCCAGCAGTCTCAAGGATCCAGCTGCTGTGGTGGAGGCGGTGGTGGAGGAGGAAGCTCTGGACAGCAGAAGATCATCATTGTCTCTGGTGGCAGTAGCGGAGGCGGAGGTGGACAGTGCTGCTGCGGAGGAGGTTCAAGCGGCGGATCCGGCCAAGTTATTATATCATCTGGAGGTGGCGGCGGTGGACAGTCCTCTGGCTGCTGTAGTGGAGGAGGGGGATCTGGAGGTGGAATGAGCCAGCAAAAGATGCCATTAATGTCTGGTGGATCCAGTGGTGGAGGAGGAATGTGCTGTGGAGGAGGCGGTGGTGGAGGTGGAGGTGGGAGCATTAAGATCATTGGAGGGGGTTCTAGTGGGGGTGGTAGCTGTTGTGGTGGTGGTGGAGGAGGAGGTGGTGGTGGAGGAGGTGGTGGTGGAGTCTGCAGCAAAGGTTTGGAAGGGGCACTGCTGAGAGAAAGGGCAGGAGACGAAGTAGCTGAAGTAGGAAACCCAAGCATGCCTGCACTGGGAGGTGTTAAAGCTGGAAACACAACAGAAATATAACCATTATAAGTGCTGAGACATTAAAAACATGTCTATTGATATAATTACAAGGACAAATTCCAAATGCTGCAGTCAAACAAGAGTTCTTTACAAATTTGGGGTGGTGGGGGTGGGGGAGGTGGTGGAGGTGGGGTTAAGATCATTGGAGGGGGTTCTAGCGGGGGTGGTAGCTGTGGTGGTGGTGGCGGAGGAGGCTCCGGTGGAGTTAAGGTTATATCATGTGGAAGCAGTGGAGGTGGTGGCGGCGGCGGCGGAGGTGGTGGTGTTAAAGTTATAGGTGGAGGCTCCAGTGGGGGTGGTTCCATTTGTGGAGGTGGAGGTGGTGGAGGATCAAGTGGGAAAACCATTATCATCAGTGGGGGAGGCAGTGGCGGCCAGCAGAGCTCCAGCTGCTGCAGTGGTGGAGGCAGCAGCGGTGGTGGCGGAGGAGGCCAGACCGTCGTCATCCCTTGTGGTGGAAGCAGTGGTGGTGGTGGTGGTGGCGGCCAGCAAAGCTCTAGCTGCTGCAGTGGTGGAGGCAGCAGCGGTGGCGGCGGAGGAGGCCAGACCATCATTGTCCCTTGTGGTGGAAGCAGTGGTGGTGGCGGCGGCGGTGGCGGCCAGCAGAGCTCCAGCTGCTGCAGTGGTGGAGGCAGCAGCGGTGGTGGCGGAGGAGGCCAGACCATCATTGTCCCTTGTGGTGGAAGCAGTGGTGGTGGTGGCGGCGGCGGCCAGCAGAGCTCCAGCTGCTGCAGTGGTGGAGGGTCTGGCGGGGGCTCCATGCAGATGAAACAACCCTGCTGTCTCCCGCCTTCTATGGGTCAAACAAAACAGGTTTGCCAGTGGCCACCCAGCCAGAAGTGAAAACCGAGGGGGGTCAGACTCCCAGGGGGTCATTTCATTCTACCTTATGCGCTCACGTGGGGAAGGAAAATAGGAGACCCGCGTGCTGGTTTGTTCCTGTGATATCAACCGTTGCACCTCTGCATGTCGCATGGCTTGTTCCCTAGATTGCAACCACCCTCCTTGTCTTCCCTGTGTTTTGTTGGTTTGTTCTGCTAATGCATGATCCATGTGATGTTCTCCTCCCAAAACTGTGATTATTTATTCCTTTCTGGTGGAAGGGTATGGATAAGATTCCCCCACCAGTTTCCTGCTTCTGTCTAATGCATGGGAGAAAAATAAAGCTTGTTGAAGAATTGATTGTGTTCCTGTTTAGTTTCTTCTTGACAAGAACTGCAAGAAATTGTTCATCTAGTTTAGCATCCTAGTTCTCACAACAGCTCATAAAAGTCCCCTGTGCCTCTGAGAAGTCTATAAAGAAAGCATTGGCCCGTTTTGCTCACTGACCTGATATCACAAATTCATCCACCTTTGACTGAGGAGAACATCTTCTCTTACCAATGATGGCCAAGGGTTGTGATCTCAAGAGGATGGTGATCTGGAGGATAAGGTTGAGGAGCTCCGATAAGTCCCAGGACATTTGGGCTAAAACTCAAAGTGGCCCATTAATATCACAGTCTCCAACAGTTTCATACATCCGTCATCACCATTATCCACGTCAAGAGCGGGACAGCTCTACGAACCTTAAGGCCAAGTCTCATCTCCCTAGGGCCAAACTACAGTTATGGGTTTAGCTGACTCAAAAGGCTGAAAAGAGCCTCATACTTTAGCCAAAAATATCCTTCTTCCTGGGAGAGTCATTTCAAACTTTTAGGTTAGGGGGAAACCCCAAAATAAGAGGTAGGAAATAAACACTAAACAAGATGTTCATGAGTAAACGAGAATGGTCTTCCTCAAGAAGATGGAAGAGACCATCACAAGTCTAGATTCAGTATCAGTTCCTATGGGTTCCCACCTCAATTTATATGGTGTTATATAGTGTTATATAGGTGGGAAGGTAACAGGGTTTCGTGTCTAGTCGCGTTGGCCACGTGACCACGGAAACTGTCTTCGGACAAACGCTGGCTCTACAGCTTGGAAACGGGGATGAGCACCGCGCCCTAGAGTCGGACACAACTGGACTAAATGTCTAAGGGAACCTTTACCTTTATATAGTGTTTTACATACGAAAAAATTGTTTGCTAAGGAATTTAGAATTTGAAATGGAAGCAGGGAAATGCCAATGGAAAGGCTTAAGGTGAGAGAAGTATGACAATATACTAAGAGCATGACAATACCTCCAAATGTCTTCTGAAGTGAAGGTACATATTGTGACTATCTACCTATCCACACTGCTGAGAAGAATCCCCAAATCCAGCTGGCTATTTTGATTCCTATCAACAAACTGGTTTTAGCCCCTCTTCATCTCTACAAGGATTGGGTCTTTTGTAAAGCTTATGGGTCTTAATTGTCCATTCAATTAAGTGCAAGTCTGTGGAGTCTAGAGATAAGGGCAAGGAGACCTTCTACCGCAGAAGAGGTCTATCCTAACCATGGTTCAGACAACGGTTCATACAGACTCATCTTCCAGAGATCTATTATCTCCGCAGGCCGTTAAGTAATGGCCATTACAAAATAAAGTTTTCGCTAAATGGAAGCACAGCTGTGCGAAGGTGGAGCTCAGCATTTCCTGTTCCACTTTCTAGCCATTTCTACATAGAGGGTGTGTTTTTATGTGAAGGAGTAACCAGAAACACGACAATCAGATATCAGCTCTCCATCCTGCTGCCTCAGGAAGATTTAACCATGCAGGTTAAGGTAGTCTTACATAAAGGAAACCACTCTCCATTAAGACGGTTATTAAGGATGTGATGACTACTTCCAAAATCTCAAATTCTTTGTCATGTTCTGAGTCTTAACCACTCCGAGTTCTACCAAGAACATCTGCTTTATACAGTCTGGTGATCATCCACTTGAGTTGCTTCAAGGTTTCGGCAAGCACCCCCTCCTTCTGCAAAGGAGCTGAAGGCCCGTAGGTGGAGAGTGTGTACACACTGTTTCATCAACTCTCTATGGAAATTGGAGGAGTCTAGTTTTTGAACTGGTTTAAACTGAGAATACAGAGTAAGATGTTTTCTCAAGAAGATAACTTCAAGTCAGAAGAAGACCACAGATCTGTCTCGTCTGGCAGCTTGTTTCTTACAACCTGCAATCTTGTCAGGAATGTGACCAGCAGGATATGAGGAAAATGCCCTCTTCTTTGGCATTTCCCAGCAACTGGTTTTCAAAAATGGTTTTACACCATCTCTGAACAAGTTATCACCCCTAGTCACGTCAGTGAAACTGTCTCGCTACAAGTATTGTCCAGTCCTGCTCAAAAGTTACCCAACCCCAAAACCCCTTGCCAAGCCACAAAACCGTGAATTGTTTACTTTATCATCACAATCGATAATGATCAAATAGCAAGCAGTGTTCTTCCTAAGAGTAGACTTCGGTCTAGATGGGCGGGGGATAGATAGATAGATAGATAGATAGATAGATAGATAGATAGATAGATAGATAGATAGATAGATAGATAGATAGATAGATAGATAGATAGATAGATAGATAGATAGATAGATAGATAGATAGATAGATAGATAGATAGATAGATAGATAGATAGATAGATAGATAGATAGATAGATAGATAGATAGATAGATAGATAGATAGATAGATAGACGGACGGACGGACGGACGGACGGATGGATGGATGGGAATATGTCAAATGGAAATAGAACTCCTGAGGGGTAAGGATGTGGAACTTACCCTTATCAAAAATATCAGACAGATTATGTGAAATAGTTCTAGATTTGGATAATATATTTAGTATTTATTTATCTGAAACATTATCATCACGAACATGTCAACTTGATCATGTGAGTTCGTTCATTGATATGAGGCTGAAATTGCTAACATTTCACTCGGTGGATAGTTAACTAATAATGGTTAATAAATAAAAACGTGTTAAAATGGGAGAATACACACAACGTTCCTCCCCAAGATAGTGAAAGAATGTGAAATTGGAGTAGACACTCAAAGATTTAATAATGGAAGCAACCATTTTTACACTGATTATTGAAACAGCTCAGATGGATAATAAATTCATTATTGAATCGTTTCCAAGGTCTAATGGATTATTTTGATAGATTTCTTGAAATCTTTGAAAGGGGGTCCTACAGAGGAGGGGCTGCACTTTGGGGTGCAGGAGGTGTCCTGCACCCCAAAGTGCAGGACACGTCATCATGGGCTCAAGATAAAAGGAAGCCGAATTTGGGGCAAATTTCAGGAAAAAACTTCCTAACTGTTAGTGAATTTGGGGCAAATTTCAGGAAAAAACATCCTAACTGTTACAACAACGGAACCCATTGCCTTGGGAGGTGGTGAGCGCTCCAACACTGGAAGCATTCAAGAGAAAATTGGACCACTATCTGTCAGACTTGTTATAATTTGAATTCCTGCCTTGAGCAGGGGGGTGGACTCAATGGCCTTAGAGGCCCCCTTCCAACTCAATGATTCTAAGATTCTATGGGATTAGCGCTAATTATCTTACCACATCAAAGCTAAGTTAAAGGCATATTATAGTTTTTGTTATTTACTACAGAGGTCCTGATGCTCAAGAAAATTTATTCCCTATCTACTGTTATGATTTGAATTCCTGCCTTGAGCAGGGGGGTGGACTCAATGGCCTTAGAGCCCCCCTTCCAACTCAATGATTCTAAGATTCTATGGGATTAGCGCTAATTATCTTACCACATCAAAGCTAAGTTAAAGGCATATTATAGTTTTTGTTATTTACTACAGAGGTCCTGATGCTCAAGAAAATTTATTCCCTATCTACTGAGATGACCTGGAGGTCGTTTCCTCCAACTTAGTAGCTGCCCCATATTTTGAACTCCTATCTGTCATTGTCCATGCTGGGTAGAAATGATAGCAGCTTTAGACTTCATACCTATGGAGAACAACAGGTTGGAGAAACCTAAGTGATATGTTCTTGGCCATATTAAAAATGTGTGTTCTGTTTAGCGATATTACTTTGGAACCAACAGTATATAATGCATTGTTAGATATAACATTAATCTTGGCAACTGTTAAACAGCAGCCACTGGGAGGCAGTGTTAAGCACACTAGAAGCAGATGACATACATTGATGGGTGGACCTTGAGGTGAGCTACTGAACACCAGGTGGCAACTTTAGAATCAAGCCTTCTCAGGTAGCGTTCCTTCCAGCTTTGTAGTTCTAAAGTGGTGGTGACTCTGATTGCTTATTTTGCCTGAGCAACATGCTCTTCCTAAACGATCCTTCTGTCCTTGGTTGGTTTTCATATCTGAAGGCTGGCTTGGTCCTCAAACCAACCTCCAACAAGGTTCTGAGTTGTTCTTTAAATCTCAAGATACTAGACCAACCTCAGACTGCTTCCCCTGGCCAAGCCTTGAAAGATCAGGACGGGCACTTGAAGTTGCTAATTTGGCACCATAAGGAAGTTACTTTTCCCCAGTCAAGAACAGTCTTCATCAAGAAGAAAGGGTGAAAGTAGCTTCTCTTTTAGTTCACCAGTGTTCTACTTAATAATCTTAGAATGGCAGAGCTAGAAGGGATCCTATAGATCATCAAGTCCAGCCTCTGTTAAGGAAACACCGTGGGGAATCAAACCCCCAAATTCCAGCTCCATAGCCAGAGACTAAAACACTGAGCTATCCAGCAGTTCTTTGCCGAATCTGAATGTCTACCAGGCTGAAACTGGGCCAAAACAAGGCAGGTCAATATGATTGTCATAAAGCTTGGTTTTAATTATAAAACTTATTTAACCTATAGTACAACTGTGACCTGGGGACTGGGGAAAGATCATATTCCAAGCCTTTAAATAAACAAACCCTGCAGGCATTATAAGAATGCTCTCTACAAAAACAAGTGTATTCCCCCTTCCCATTGAGAAAATCACA